GGGTATTCTTGCTCAGCCAAAAATACGATTTGTTGAACTTCCCCTGAAACATTTAGTAGGCCAGACTTTGAGAAATGCTTCGAGAGATAGCCATGCTGTTTAAATTTAGTCACAGCTAGGCTCACCTACTTTGGCTAATGAGTTGACGATCAGGATGTGTTGTATTAAAGAGGTTAACTACTTACTAAATCAGTTTTGACACTTAGGAAATTGTTTCTTAGGAAAATCTTCTTAAAAATACAGCAAAATGCAGACCTAACAAAAAAAATAATAAATCAACAAATGAACAATCCAACTATTCGATCAGCAAACAAAAATACACTATTTGTATTATACATTATGTATTAAAAACTAAATATCTCTGTGTCCCACCAACACAGAGATATATTTATATATACTATATATATATTTATATACCCTGCTCAAAAAACTTAAGGGAACACTTTTGGAAATCTGTAATTTTTTAAATAATAGTTCTAGACAAATCAAATTTGGTTTACTTCAACGGCATATATTTAACTAAAGAAAATTACAAAAACAATGTTACAACTCTTGGTTACTTCTAAGTTACACATAAAAATGTAAATTAATAACGCAAAACAAAGTGGAAAAATGTCAAGTATGCTTTGAATCCGCGAATGAAAGCCTACTAAAGATGACAAATGAATTCAGTTGTCAATTTTCGTTGATTAGAAGCGTCATGAGGCATCTTAGTGAAGTGCAAGTTGCTCGTGCTGTCGCCCTTATTTAGCATGGCCACTATTCGACATGTTAGCAGGGATCTTCGAGTTTCCCCTTCTGTTATTCAGCGTTTATGGAATCGGTTTCGGAAGACTGGCCAACATGTTAGAAGTGCTGGACAAGGTCGAAATCGAAAAACTACTCAAAATCAAGACCGATTTTTTGTCCTTTCCTGTCTACGTACGCGTGCTGCGACAGCACGAGACCTCCTAAACGACCTAAGACGAGCACATGGAATAGAAATTTCTTATCAAACTCTTAGAAACAGATTAAAAGAAGCGAATTTGAAACCTAGAAGACATGTCCGCGAACCACGCCTCACGCAGCATCACAAAGCAGCGCGAATGAGGTTTGCTCTGGATCATAGAGATTGGCAACTTCGTCACTGGATGCCTGTACTGTTTACAGACGAGTCCAGATTTCGTTTAACTCGTTGCGACGGTCGAGTACGTGTATATAGACGTCCTGGTGAACGCTACTATACAGGAAGTGGATACATTTGGTCGGGGATCTGTTATGGTTTGGGCTGGAATCAGTATAGACAACAGAACTGATCTTGTTGTTGTTCCTGGTAGACTAAATGTCATGAATTACATCGAAAACATCTTGGAGGACCATGTGGTGCCTGCTTCATATGGGGTCGATCAAAATTTAATCCTATTGCAGGACAGTGCAAAGCCACATATACTGCCGGTATCACTAGAAATTTTTTGCAAGAACGTGGAATTCAGTTCATAGAATGGCCGGCGTTAAGTCTTGAACTGAATCCTATTGAACACATGTGGGATCAGCTTGACCGACGTGTTCGCACAGCGACCTAATCCACCACTAACCATACAGGAACTGTCACAAGCCCTGAGGAATGGGAAAGCATACCTCAAGAATCTCTTCGCAGACTAGTGCGAAGCATGCCACGCAGGTGTGAGGAAGTGATTCGTGCTGGTGGAGAGCATACACGGTATTAAACCTCACCAATCCACAGAAAACCCGACTGTCATCGATACTATGAGAGTCGTTTCCAATTTGTTTTGCTTTATTAATTTACATTTTTAAGTGTAACTTAGAACTAACTAAGAGCTGTAACATTGTTTTACACACCTAGAACAATTTGAATCTGCAAGGTTTGGGTTACTTTAGATCGTTATATGTTTTTTAATTGTTATTGTGTAATTTAAAACTGCTGACGCAAGAATTACTGACTGAAACATCCAAAAACTTTAATTGTCAAAGAGTAAAGTGTCCTATATAGAGTTGTTCTAGTGAAAATAATAGCTGTTCCAGATTGCTTTAGGTATAATAAGTATATATTTGTAATATGGAATTGAAAATAGAAAAACTATGGTCACAGCAATCAACTAGACATTTTGGCAGCCAAACCTATTTTTAGTTATAACTTCGTAATGCTGTATCCCATCATTTTGATTTTCTAGAACAACAACTAGATCTAGAACAACCCAGAACAACTAAGAAAATCAGATTTTTCCAAAAATGGGGAGCTAGTCTTTTTTTCTGTTTGCTGCTTTGGAACAATGTAGAACAACTCTAGAACAATCTAGAACATCAATAAAAAATGTAGAAATGAAAAAATGGGGGGCTAACTTCTCGCACTCTGTTCGGATACCTTTTAATTATACAACAAAATGGTGCGATATTTTCTTTTATCCTGTTAAGTCAAATTATCTCAAATTATCTTTTCCCGGAATATAAGAAATGGTTAGGAAAATTTTTTTTTTGGTATCTGAAGCAAGACGAGACCAGGAATACGATTCCGTTAAAATTAGATCGATTAGACACCCCGAACAGGCCAAAATTTGCGATTGTTTCAAGAAAAATGGTTTTCCCGGAATGTAAGCAATGGTTAGGAAAATTTTCTTTTCGAATGTGAAGCAAGAGGCCACCAGGAATACGATGCCGTTGAAATTAGATCGATTAAATACCCCGATCATGCATTTTCTTCAGTTTAAAATCTATGGCCAACTTCACACGCGTAAATATATCATTTTCGGAATATATATATATTGCAACATATCTATTGTAGAATTGGAGGATTGGCGCCTCTGACATCATAGGCACCGTCGGGACAACCCTGGCATTAACGTGTTCATGCACGTTAAAGGTTTCGTTTTAGTTCTATTAACTGCTTACTAAGCAGTTTCAAAATAAGTATGAAAGGACCGTAAAATCATATTAAAATTAAGTTTAAATTTATAATTTCTAGCGACACGACCTGCAATTCCGTTCCTCGAATAAAATCAATCCTTTTTTAAAAATGACTTTCTTTGAAACCAAAATAAAAATTAGTTTGTTAATTAATTATGGCTAATAGAAAACATAAATAAAAACTTACCTTTATACAACAGCAAAGTTAGAAGATGTCCTTGAAAGTAAGGTTAAATTTTCTATAAAAATTCATACATTAAATTAGACTAAGATTTTAAGTAGTACTCACAATCACTATAGATTGATGGATTGAGTATAAAAGTTAGATCTATTCTTGGTATTCTTATCACATCACAGTATAAAATGGCGAGATGTTATGGGGATATTTAAGATTTTATTTATATATTATTTTATGGAGACTGGAGAGTATATTTGTCCACGACGTAGAACACAATGTTTTTCTACTCGGCTAATCCACTACTTGTTGGTTATGGAAGGGAGTGACGCGACACGTCATGCAGGTCGTGAATCAATTTAGTAGTAAAACTGATTAATACGTATCACAAGAAGATGAATAATACTATAATTTTGTTGAAATAAACATTTTGATGTTTAAACTTTTTAATTTTTTATACTTAAATTGTTTTTCTATATTCTTTAAATATTTCGAATTATCATAGGCACGCATCTCAGACCGGCGTGACGTCACACAAGAGAGTGGGGATACCGGTCAAATTAAGAAAGAATAGCCAATTGAATATACTTACGTAGTTTAGTAACCATAATAAGTTTGCCACAATAAAAGAGCATTCAATTGTTTTTATTTCATAAAACAAATGAGTAACCAATAACGCTTGAATTTTTTAAAGTAGCAATGTACCCTTTCGTTAGGCTCATTTGATAGAGATTTTTTTTTCTTTTCGATGACGTAAAATCTTTGTACCCTTATATCAGAAATTTGTTAAAAAAATTTAAAAATTGTTTATTAAGTTAATTTCTCCAGTAACATTAATCTAGATATCCTAAATCGTCAAGTACCTCGAATTATTACCGTAAATTAAATCTACATACAAAATAAAACAAAGAACGAAAAATTAGTGTACGTCTCTTATTAACCCTCCAGTTGACGGGTGGTTTAAAAATCACACTGTTCGACGGGCTGGGTCGCTCAGAACTAAAGTTTGATGCTTATTCCTCCCACTATAACACAATAAAATATTAAATTTATTGTATTCTACTGTTAGTCTCTCTTATTTTGTACTGCTGAAAGTAGAAATAGCCCAAAAAGATATTATTTATTAGAGTAAATGTTACATTTAACGTAGTTTACACAAAAAGTGTAAATAAAAAAAATTTTAAAACAATATAAGAAAAATTTTTTCCTAAACGCAAACTAAAATCTTCAATAAACACAAAAAAAAATGAATTTTTATATATATACAGTCTATGCATAAAATGTAGATGGTCAAACATCTTAAACAAAATTCTCTGCGCAGTCGGTGCAGCATGGATTTGAATGCTCCAAACAGATGCAAGTACCACAAAACATGTAAGAATATTTCGATTTTCGGTCGTTGCAGTATTTACACCTTTGTCGACCAGTCGAAACCGTTTGAGATTCTTGTGAAGTTGGGAGTCCTGATAGTTGAATCGCTAGTCCTCTTACGTTCCGCGTTAGGTTCGGTTTATTAGCTCGTATTTTCATATTTTCTAAAACTAATTTCTTGCCCAGCTGCTCCAAAAACAGTCGCCTGCTTTTTGAAAGTTCGCCATCAGGATTATTACTTTTATTTATTATGAATGCGTTGACGAATCATATCTTATGTCCTTCGCCTCATGCAAAGAACCCAGAAGAAAAACGATTTTATTCTTCTGTCGAATTACAAAAGTTTTTCTGAAATCCTTTGCTTTTTCACCAAAAACTAATTACTACCAAAACCAATCCGTAAGTTCGCTCCCTTCCTAGATCGAGATGGGTTGCTCAGGGTGAGTGGCCGGTTACATAGTGCGGATGTACCATTTGATCAAAAACATCAAGTGTTACTACCAAAAGTGTAGCGTTTAACTCATCTTATAAATTGAAGAAAGTCACCGTGAATTTTTGCATCCTGGACTTCGTACGTTATCAGCAATATTGGCGCAACAGTAGTGGATTTTGTCTCCACAAAGTGCCATTTACCACGTCTTATCAAGATCTATCCAATGCTTCCGTGTCAAACCCAGATCATATGCATCATTTAGGGCTGACTTTCCAAAGTTCCGAGTAACTGAATTCAAAACATTTAATGTTGTTAGAGTAGACTTCGTTCGATCTCGGTCTGTAAAATCCTATATAGGCGTTTTTGTTTGTGTAAATCCACACAAACATGGATTGTAGCCATCCACATAGAACTGGTTTCAGATTTATCTACAGCTGCATTCATTGCTGCCCTCCGAAGGTTTCTTTCCCGTCGAGGTCACTGTTCCAAGTTGTTCTTCGATCAGGGAACTAACTTTATTGATGCTAGCCACAAACATCAACAACTGGCAGATGTTACTGAAACTATCTTGGGTATAAATTGGAAATTTAATCCACCAGGTGGGCCCCATTTTAAGGGATTGACTGAGGCCGGAGTTAAGTTCATTAAAACACACCTTATTTATTTATTGAAACAAACAGGTTTCCCTAATTACATGTTTCAACCAGCTTAATAGTAGAACAATTAAGATCTACCAAAATCACGCCGCAATATAAAATAGTGATTAACAATCAACACTTAATCAGTTGAGCGCCATAAAACATTTAGTTCTGAACTCCTTGTATAATACCGAGAATATTGGTAATGAGTTTCTTGCTGATACTTTATTATATAATGTTACCATTTTATTTAATGGTGAGTTTCTTCTCAGTTCCGTAGAGAAACGCTTTATATTAAACAGAGCCCTAGGACGACCAGAATATGCAAGGACATACAAACCAACACCGCTGAAAATTGATAGTGCATCCACTTTATTGTTTAGTATCTTATACAGATAACCAGGACTTATCACACCAATCAAATGATCGACAATTTGGTCATATCAAAATATCTCTGAGTCAATTCATAAGACTGAAAACCAATAAATCTATTGTATTGTTTGTAGAAAATATATTTAATGAATTAGTTTTGTACTGTCTCAATGAAATTCGAATGATAGGCTGTTCCAGGGTCCCATGCAACAACAGCATATTCCAGTTTTGATCTAATTAATGAATTGTATAGGTACCTATATGGTGTCAATATTGAAAAAGGAGTGACAGTTTCTTATAATAAATCCTAACAACCTTAGAGCTGATGCAGTTGTAGCTTTTACGTGCTCATCAAAGTTAAAGCTTTGTATATATAACTCCTAAATTTTTTTTCTGTACAATGTTTTTCAGTTTATTGTTATTGATATAATACTCATAAACAATCGGTACTTTCTTTAAAGTGAAAGTAATTTTTTCACATTTTTCCGCATTAAGGTGAAGCCTATTCTCGTTGCACCAAATCATTAGTCTTCTAAGATCAGATTGTAGGCACACACAATCATTTTCATCACGTATACTTCGAAACAGTTTTAGGTCCTCAGCAAACCGTAGGCATTCAGATTCCTTTATAATGGACGGCAAGTCATTAACAAACAATAACAAGAGTAAAGGCCCTAGACTACTCCCTTGCGGAACACCACAGTTTATTTAAAATTTTTGTAACTCGCTATGTTTATAACTAACGTAGAAATGTCTGTTTTCCAAATAAGATCCAAAAAAATTTAATGTTTGTTTAGATAAACCATACAATACTAACTTGTCTAAAAGTACATCATGATTCACTTTATCGAACGCTTTAGTGAAGTCAGTGTATATAACGTCAACCTGACCTTTTCCATCCAATTCAGAACTAACATATTCATTTAAGATAATTAAGTTTGTTTGTACAGATCTATTAGGGATAAATCCATGCTGGTTAACATGCAATGCCTCTTTGATGTGATTGAATATATAATACTTTCGAAGACTTTTGCAAAACAGGATATTATTGAAATTGGTCTATAATTGGCGATTTTACTTACAGAACCATACTTGTGTCTTGTGTATAGGTACAACCTTTGCCCACTTGCTATGTAAAGGAAACATACAGGTGGAAATTGCTAAGTTAAAGATAATAGAGAGAGGCAACACAAAAAACAACCTTTTACGATGTAAGTGGGTATATTATCTGATCCCTGTGCCTTTTTTGGCTTTAACTTTCTTATTGCTTCCAATATTTCATTGTTCGAACTGGGATTAAATGTAAATATGTTCAACGAGCTTCTTTGAAGGGATTCATCATATTTATTAAGCATATAAGTAGAAACATTATCAAAAACAGAACTGAAATATTCACCAAATGCCATACTTATATTTTCTGCAGAAGAAAGTGTTGAACTATGTTGTTGAAAACACGTTGCTTCATTTAAGTTTCTTTTTTTGTTAGAAATGAAATAAAAAAAAGAATTTGGCTCATTCTTAATATTTTGTTCCACCTTAGCCGTGTAGCTGTTGTATGTTATGCCATACAAGAGTGATTGGAGAACAAATACTTATGATGAGATGTTAACAGTCCTATCACAGATCGAAGCTATCTTGAACTCCAGGCCATTGTGTCCTTTGTCGAGCGATCCAAATGACTTATTACCATTAACCCCCGCACATTTTTTACTTTTAGATTCTCTTGGTGCACAGATTCCAGATCCAAATCTTATTGATCGTTTATTGAACCGTTATGATCGGTGGAATTTACTGCAGCGAATGGTTCAGGATTTCTGGGGATGTTGGCGAAATGAATATCTGAATATCAGTGTACACTCTTCAACAACGCCAGAAATGGAATACGGATACTCCTCCAATTCAAATAAAGACTGTCACGTTGGAGTAGTAACCGTCAAAATTCAGAATGGAAAATTAATACTCCCAGTCAACAACACCTGCATTTTCCCCTCACCCTAATATTGTAAAAGCTTTATTTGTTTGTTTAACTTTATTTATTGTAATTACTTGTAATCAATTTTATAATTTCTCTTATTTCACTTCACTAGTTGTTAAAAAATACACCTAATTTTTGGTAGGTGGAAATGTTTGTGTAACGTAAACGTTCGTTTCTATGCGCACGATGCGCACCCCCAAATTGTCTCCCGCGCATCTTTACATGGGATGCGCATACGAGAGGGAGACAATTATTATTGTTGAAAGAGTTATCCATGTTGCAAGATTAATAATCAAATAGAAACCATTTAAAAACTTCTAACTTGCATTTATTTATATAAAGTCGTACTAGTTTCGGGTTACCCCATCATCAGCGACAACTATAAAGATTACAAATCATAAGATAACAAATATGTAAGGTGGTAAATATAATAGTGATGTTAACTCGAAAATTTTTTAAAAAGAATTAGTGACAAAATTGTTATTTAAGGTATGAAAATTAGAAGTTAAGTTAAAAGTGCAAAAATAAAAGTTCAAAAATATTGTTAA